TTTTTTTTTTTTTTTAAAATACCAGGGATTGAACCCAGGGTCACTTTACCACTGAGCCATTTCCTCAGCCCTATCTATTTATTTATTTATTTTTCCATATTTTTTTATAGTTGTAGATGGATAGGATACCTTTATTTTATTTATTTATCTGTTTTTTATATGGTGCTGAGGATCAAACCCAGGGCCTTACAGGTGCTAGGCAAACACTCTAACCACTGAGCTACAACCCCAGCCCTCAGCCCTTTTTTAAAGTATACTTTATTTAGAGAGAGGTTCTCACTAAATTGCTTAGGGCCTCGACAAGTTTCGGAGGCTGGCTTTGAACTCATGATCCTCTGCCTCAGCTCCCCAAACTGCTGGGATTACAGGCGCCCACGGGTCCTCTGCAGCCTCATGTGCAGCTAAGAACAATGAGCCCCTAACAGCCCTAGGCCACCCCACAGAGAGTTCTTTAAACATATGTAGAGAGTCAGAACCACACCACAGGCCAGGGAGGGAACTGGACCGCAGAAATGTAAAGGATCACTGGGACTACATCCTGCTGGCTCACCACAGAACAACAAGCACAAGCACAATGGGGCACACAGGGACATAAGAGTAACTCTGGCTAGGACAGTCCCAGAAGTCTTTGTGGAACAGGAGAAATCTAAACTGGATTTCTGATGGCTAAATAGGAATCTACCAGGCAGACAAGGATGGAGGAAAGACATTCTCAAAAAAGAACACAATACAAGTAAAGGTTCAGAGGAAGTGTCTGGAGAACTCGAAGCACTTTGAAGGTCTGTAGGATGAAGATATGTGAGAAATATCACTGAGTGAGGTTTTTTCCTCTCAAATTTATTGTGTTCACTAAAACCAATTTACTATGCATTTAAGTTGAAAGTCAAGACATCAAAGGGAAATCAAAACACACATTGCATTTAAGAATAAACACTAAAGATAACATTGAAAAACTTATTTCCTGCTCCTAGGCTCCATAACTTTTGGGTCAAAAAGATGTGACACCATAGAGGCGCGAGTGTGCCTGCATTTCTTTACTTACCCGTCTGTGGGAAGAACATGCCCAGGCTAACCCACTGGTCTCAGGAGAAGGATGAAAGACCCATGGAGCCACGCCACCGCCCAAATCAACGAACTGTATTATTATATGCAACAGAGAGACTTTTGTGGTCGGAAAAGAAAATCGGGTATGCTCACATAATGGAATACCACACATCAGCGAGAATGAACAAACTATAACCACAAACACCCATATAAAAAGATCTTACAAAAATTATGTTAAGCAACAGAAGTCAAGCACAAAAGAGTACACATAACGTAGCACCTCCAATTCGTAAAGTTCAAAAACAGGAAAAATATCATGAATAGTGTTAGAATCTTGAAGCAAGTTTAGTGACTAAAAGAAGCATGGAAACTTTTGGGAATTCTAAGAAGATTCCATTTCTTCAACTGGGAGTGGTAGTGTATGCCTATAATCCAAACTACTCAAGAAGCTGAGCCAGGAGAATTATAAGTTTGAGGCCAGCCTGGACAATTAAGCAAGGTCCTGTCACAAAATAAGATTCGTAAAAAGGGCTGGGGGGGTAGGTCAGTGGCAGAGTACCCCTGGGTTCATTCACCAGTGATAGGGGACAGAGAGGTACAACTGATGGGAACATGAGGTTAAGGGAATAATTCTATAAAATGGGCCCACTGTGCTGACCTCCACATCCTTTCTTTTCCAAGAAACCTGCAGCCCTGCCTGGCTTAAGTAGACAGGATATGTCACATTCCTCAGCAAACTACCTGGTATCTGCAGGAGAAATGCAGGCCTGAAATAATGTTGATAAGAGGTATCCAAGTTACCCAGGAGGGGGAGATTTTTATGACCCTTTTCTTAGAAAAATTTATGGTTTAAGAATCCAATTAGAACTAATCAGTATGGGTCAAGGTGACCTAGAGTTGTCATGGCAGTGGGAACTTAAAAGTCTGATATTATCCTGCTGACAGTCAAAAATCAAGAGGCAGACCTGGGCAGGAAGCTTCTCTGGAATCCCCAATAAAACTAGAGTGCAGGGGAGGCCCACTGTCCCTCTCCTCTCTGAAAAGTGTCTCTTTTCCCTTTTCCTATCCCTTCAATAAACTCATGCCTATTACTCTGAGTGACCTGTCTGAAATCTTTCTGATTTGATTGCAAGGATTGGGGTTTGGAGGGTGGGGGGTGGTCTTCACGCTGCCTCAACTTCCTGGAAGGCTCAAACCTGTAACATTAGTATCAAGAAATTAAAAAGATTCAGTTTATTAACTTACATGCAGGTTACAGAGGTATCTTCATTTTGTGAAACTTAACCAAGTACACATCTGTTTTTATACTTTTCTATATAACCTTTGGAGCTAAAATTAAAATTTTACAAAGTACTTGTAAAAACGAAAAAAAAGGAAACACTTACTGAGGTCTGGAGATATATAAGGACAGTTGTCAAGTTCTGCTTTTTTCATGGAGGCTTCATTAGTCAGAGTTTCTTCCTTCCCCAAAGCTATGGCCTTAAAGTTAGCCATGAAATCCTTTGCTTTGGGAATCTCTTGAATAGCACCCACAAAGTAGTTACTGGTGGCCCATCCAACCACCGTCAGGCATAAGGTAAAAAGCAACAGTAACCGTAACTTGTAGGAAAGGTGGAAATGCAGGTTGAAGCCCATGTCTTCAATTTTATGAGTGATATGTATCTTTCTGCTTTGATCCAGATGAGGAAGCTTCAAGTGAAATTTTTCCAATCTGACTGCAAACTAAGGACAACAAAAGATGCAATGGCTGCTTCTGCCCATTAGTTCTGCTCCAATGATCTCTAAAAGGCAATCACAAAAGACATGTTGCTTTGAATGGAAATCCTATCCTGAAATGATTCACTTCAGCACAAACTAAACCCATCCCCAATGGACCTTGACTACAGTATCAGATTTTAGAGATAGAAGGCTTCAAACATCTAGACATTACTGGACTATTGCCCAGGCTGTCACCCAAGAAGAGAAGCCACATCCAGATGTTATACAGAACAAAATGGTAAAAGACAGAAGGGGGAATGGCATCATTTCTGAGCTGGGGACAGCCTAAATTACAGCCCAAGTGGCTCTATTCCTTAGTTGCTCCTTCCTGGCACAGCCTTTAGGGTTCACAAAATGTAAAAACTTGTATGGAAACATATTTGGACCCTGTTAGATCTCCCAAAGTCTCGTGTGTTGAAGGCTTGATCCCCAATGTTCAGAGGTGTGACCTCTGGGAATTTCTCTAAACACTATGTTATAAATGGACCTCTAATCTCTTTGGTAGATGAAATGGATCAATGGATTCATATTCGATGACATTATTGGGTGATGGTAGAAACCTTGGGAGGTGGGGTCAGGTTGGAGGAGATGGGTCACTGGGGGCATGCCCTGAAACGCTATATCTTGTACCCAGCCCCCTTCCCCTCTCAATAACGCACCCCTTGCCATAGCTACCCCCTGCTTCCCAGCGGCCATGAGGTGAGCAGCTTTCTTCAGGCCTGGCTGATAGTCTGCAGCCTCTGAAATTGTGAGCCAAAATGAATATTTCTTCTGTTAAGTTGATTTTCTCAGGTGTTTTGTCACAGAAACAGAAAGCTAACACAAACTCAGTAAGAAAATAAAGAAAAATACCAATGTTCTTTTGCCTTGTGAGCTAGAAAAGCATGGCCCTCAACAATAGAAAATGAATGTTATATTCTCAATGAGACACTGGAATAGGGCCCACCCCCCAGTGTAGAGTTGGATCTAAGGCAAGAAACCTAAGGGAGTCCCAACACAGGAGGTCAATAAGAAAAACAGGTAGAACTACAATGTGGCATTTTAGATCAGGGGTTTGGATTTAGACAGAAACTATAGCTCTACCACATATCAGCCACATAATCTTGGGTCAGTCACTTAACCAAGCCTCAGTTTCCTTACCTGTAAAATGGGGATCAAAATAAAGAAATCTATCTAGAAAAACTATTTGTATTATATATTCCCATGGTTTGGGTATGGTTTACTCCCCAGGGTTCATGTATTAGAAACATAATCCCCAGTGTGACAATCTCAAGAGACAATGGGACCTTTAAGAAGTAGAACCAGACAAGAGTTGGTGAGATCACTGGGGGCACTGCCCTTGGAAGGGATTAGGTAGTTCTCATGGGACCCATTTCTCTAAACACAATGTTATAAATGGACCTTGAAAGAGCATGTTTACCCAGGAAGTAATTAAAAAGTATGGCCTGTGTTTAGGCCCTATGAAGGCATCACAAGAAGTAAATGGTGAAGGCAATAACAGCTAATGAGAAGAGCCACTGATTTGTGCATTTACTTGCACCATCATACACTGTGGTTAAATCATTTGTATAAATTCTCAATTCAATCTTGAGACATAAGTTTGTCTTATTTTAGAGATGAGAAAACAAAGGTTTGGAGAGAATAATTAACTTCCCTAAGACCACATAAACTAATTAAGGGATAAAGCTCAGGTGCTCAGTTCCAAAGGCCATGCTTCTGCCACATCCTGAATTCACACGGACACTTTCTCTATTCTCCCCTGATGTCGAGGTGGGCCCAATACATACAATATGCAAGTTCCTGCAGTGGTTCCCCCTACCTCTCCACATCCTCCTGTCCCTTTCCTTGGACCTATCTGTTCAGATGCCTTCCTAGAGGTTTCTCTTCCCTGCAGATGACAGTAAGTCATTAGGTTCCTGGGACAAATCAGACAACTTGTTATGCACTTAATTACAGGAAGCTTAAATACAGTGTTTTGTTTTTTTTTTAATAAAAACCTCTTGAATGATTTGGCCCCAGGAACACTGCTTTTCTAAGAGCTATTTATGGAGACACAGTCCCCTGAAAGAATCATTGAGTTGAAGGAATTTATGATCATACTGTTACTGTTTTAGTCAGCTTTTTCACTGATGTGATGAAAGAACCCAACCAGACAACTGTAGAGGAGGAAAGGTCTATTTAGGGGCTCACAGTTTTGGAGGTCCCCATCCATAGACAACAGACTCCATTCCTCGGGGCTCAAGGTGAGGCAGGATCATTATGGCAGAAGAGTGTGGCAGAGGGAACCAGCTCACATGATGATTAGAAAGCAGATAGAGAGGTCTCCACTTAACAGATACAAAATATATATCCCATAGCCACGCCCCCAATGAACCATTTTTTTCTCTAGCCATATCCCACCTGCATCCAGTTACCACTCAGTTCATCCCATCAGGGATTAATTCACTGGGTTAAGGCTATAACCCAATCATTTCTCCTCCAAACCTTGCACTGTCTCACACAGGAGCTTTTGGGGGACACCACATCCAAACCATAACAGTTACTATCATGTTAAAAGCAAGAAGGACCATAAAGAACACATATCCAGCTCCCTCATTTTGTAGAGGGGGAGGCATGGCTTAGAGATTGAAAAACCTATCCTAGGCAAAGAGTGTATCAGAAATGTCTACACCTTTTACCCAATTTGGCTATGAACTAAAAAACTGTTTAAAAAAAAACTTTTAAACCTACCCTAAAAGTAAAGAGCTATGAATAATCATAAACTAATATTGCTAATAAATTTGTTCAAAAACAAGAAACTTATTCTAAAAGCAAGGAGTCATTATGAGCAATTGCTGATCCTACTTCTTGAGACTACATCTGACCCCAGTTAAGAATAATCAGCTACCTCTTTTTATAAGTCTAAGTGTCCTTCACGAAACTAAATGTACGAAAAGCCAGCATGAAGGAAGTTCAAGAGTGAGATTGCCTTGGTTCCTGTGAGTAAACAGAGGTGCAAAGACCCTATCTCCCCAGAGAGATCTCCACCCTCCTCCCCTGCTTATGGGCTAAGCAACTGGGGGTTACCACTCAGTATGTTTCCCTACCCATAAAATGAACTCTCACTACAAGCCCCAGAGCTATTTTCTATAAACGTGGCTGTATAACCAATGGGATCCTGCAATTTGTACACGTGGGAAAAATAAGAATTCATACCCCATTTGAATCAAATGTATGATATATGATATGTCAAGATCATTGTAATGTTTTGAGCAACTAATTAAAAAAAAAAAAAAAAACTGTCCCGAATGTCAGGGGGAATCATGACTGCAGAGAAAAAAATTCAGGCAACGTAAGTTATTTTAGGGCAACACTCACCACCCTTTTCCTCTCTAGAAGTCTGCCCTAGAGTTAGTTGGAAATCATCCTGCTTTTGCATTTTTTGTCTTTCCTTCCCTTAATTCAGGCAGTCTTTTCTGAGTGCCTGCTGTCTTTAAGCACAGGGTAGGTACCAAGGGAACAGAAAGGGAAGCAGAGCATAGTTTTTTGTGCTAATAGTTTACTTCAATCTTTTCCAAATCAATCCATTTGTTTTCTAACTATGCTAGCCCCACTCCCACTTGAAAGCACGGGGAATACATGAAACAAGACTGGAAAAATATTGAGAAGTACTGAAGGTACCATAGGAGACAGGAAGGACACCAAGCATCAACTCCACAAATATTTACTAAGCACTCATGCATCAGTGCAAAAGGGTGTGGTCTTCATTCAGCAACTGAGAGCACCGAAACCAGCATTCCAATGTCTATGTCAATCTCATCAGTCTGCAGATACAGGGTGTCTGAGTGGGCATGATGGCCCAGGCACACGGTACTATTCTCCTGAGACTCCCTGGGGCACAAGTGCTACTCAGTTTACCCTCGCAGAATTCCTGGGAGCTGATTATTTGCACACTCATTGTCCTACCTTCCTTAGGCCTCTGGTATTCACTGTCCCAATTATAGCTCCTTAGAAGGCTTCTGACTGATCACTGCCTGATCCTTATGCACCCCTTGGGCGGTGGACAGGATGGATATGGTGACAGCTATTTACATGTACAAGTCACTATACTCAAAAGACTGAGCTCCAAAGGGTCCTAACTAGAAGCATTTAAGCAATAAAATAATGGTGACACTGTATTGTAGCCCAAGAATAAAATGACCATTCGTGAGTCAGTACTAATATAAATTATCACAAAATAAATGAACAGGAAAGAAAGGGCAGCTGTCCCTTACAGGAAACTTTCAGTTAATAAGGAAGTGGGAAATGGAAAAAAAATCATGATTAGGCAAACTGCAGACAAGACTCACCAATGTGTACTAAGGTTAAAGGAAGAAATTTTGAGGATCAGCAGAATTTGCTTATTCATAAAGTATCTCTCTTGGCTATTAACTACAAAGGGAAAGGCAGTAACTTTGTAGTGGAGAAACCCAACAATGTCACCTTAAGGAAGTGACTGAGGTTAAAATCCTGTGAATTGGTAATATGTCACACCAAGCAGAGAACATCACTTCTGTAGTATTTATGCCAAAACACATGGCTTCATAACAAGCATAACATCAAATATTCCACAAAATAACTAACTGGCATTCTTCAAAAAAGGAAAAATTATGAAAGACAAGGAAAAAAATCAGGAATTATTTCAGATTAGAGGAGATGAAGGAGAATTAAAAACTAAATGTGATGTGGGATACTCAAGGGACGATGGAAACAAAACCAAAACAAAAAGAAAAGACACTTGTAGCAAAACTGTTGAACTTAAAATAAAGTCTATTGTTTAGTTAACGGTAGTGATAAATGTACCATGGTTATGTAAGAGGTTAATAATAGAGAATAATAGAGGAAGCTAAGTGAACACTGTGTCATTTTCCCAACCTTTAAGTAGGTCTAAATGAGTTAAAAATAAAAAGTTAAAGGAGAATAAAGTCTGAGACAGAGTATATCCCAAGTCAATATAAGGGAGTACATTAACTTAATTCTCCAAGAGAATCACTGTTTTTTATATTCCTAATGCCTCAAACCAACATGATACATAGCAGGTGCTCAATTTGGTAAATAATGAATGATTTTCTAGGAAATGTTAGTTGAAATATATTAAGGACACACCACAATTCCAGCCTAACTACTAAAAGAGATGATATAGTTAAAAAAAAAAGAGGGAGGCAGGATAAAGTTAAATAGAGAAAGAAAAATTAATGGATATAAAATTCCATCTTCAGAAAAAAATTTTAAATTAAAAAGTTTCACCCCAATACTAGCTCACTTTGGTTTACAAACACCAACCCTTTTCAAAGGGTAGTGGACCCCATCTCTGATAAATGGCACACTCTGTCTTGCTCACCACCTTCTGACCCTCTGCCACTGTGTATTCAAATAGCTAGGTCTGGGACTCAGGAAAATGCAATTTTAACAAGCTCCTCAGGTGAATCCTCTAGTGAAATCCTCAGGTGAATCATCTACTGAAATCAGAGAAAGGACCTGGAAATAGAGCCTTCAGAAATATTAATTTTCCTATATGTGAGAAAACCAAGACAGGTGAAAATGAGATTGATAAAATTCATTGAAATAGCTTTTGATTCTGTCATTTGGGAAATAACCAGAGGGGTTGACCTTGCTAAAATAACCAGAAATGGAAAAGAATCTGAATATTAACATTGGGGATCTGATGTGATTAATTATAGCATATCCACATGATAGAATACATACTTTCATTAAAATGGCATTTGAAAGTACTTAAGTATAGGGGAAAGTGCTAAGTGGGGCGGGAAGAATATAAAAATGTATATAAAGTACAATCCCAATTCTGTAATCTATGTAGGTACATATCTTCTATATTAAAAAATGCCAGAAAGAATCACTAGTAAGTCATCTCTCAGTTATGAATTAGGGAAACTTGTTTCTTCTGTAACTTCTAATTTACCATGGTTTTTATGACAAAAACAAATTTTTTTCTGATAAAATGACTACATAGTTTTTCTTTAAAAATGTATTTAAAGATGACACATTAGAAGGATCATGACTGTTAGTTACAAAAGTTTGACAGCAATTCATTCATATAACCTTTAAGAAAACCTATTCTAAATGGGCCCAACAAGTCCCAATCTCAAAGAAAAACCTCAAAGGCTTTCAATACTAGAGAACCCTGTGGTCTTGGCTTGAAATGCTTATTCTTAGGCTCTAGAATTTTTTTATTTTATTATTACTTTTTTTTTCAAAAGTCTAAGTTGGGGCCAAGAAATCTATATTTTTAAAAGGAACTCAATTCATGTCTGAGACATGAAGGCAACTTTGAGAAACCATTGTTCATTAATGGCTTTTTTAAAAAGACTAGAAAACAACAACTGACTTGTTTTGGATGTTCCCATTCTGAATAAGTATCTTCAAAGAAATAATCAGTTCTCAAATTATTTGCAGGCACCTCTGAATAAAGCACATAATATTAATAGCTCAGCTTAAAGTAGATACTAAATACTTATATAATCCCAGAGCTGGTTTGATTGCCCTCCCTACTCATTCCCCCTCAGGCTACAGAAGTGCAGTTCAAAATTTCTCTTTAAGAGATGTTTTCAATCAGAGCAAAGCTACAGACCCCTCTCAAAAATGCATATATCAGGGACACAGAGTTTCTGCAACTTTATGGAGTTTCCAGTGTCCACAAAGTCTAAACCTGCTCTACAAGCTCAAATTCAAAAACTCTACCCAAACAAGCACTATCTCCTTCCCCTTGGGAGACATTCCAGGACTTCTGGCCGCGTTCCAGAATAGTCCTCCACGCCCTCTTTTGAATACCAATTTCTCAACATGAACCCTGAATCCTATTCATTCCAATCTAAGATTCTTGACCTTCTTGTATCATCATGTTCTTTTCCTTAAAAAAAAAAAAAAAAGTACCTGATTAATGTTTAAAGGAGAAAAAGAGAAAAACCACGTCTTCTGAGCTCTCAAATTTCCACCTTCTTCCAGCTGCCATTCATCAAACAGCCAGATCTACCAGTGCACTCAAGCCTTGATGTCCTCATCCCTCACCCACTCTAGAACACTTTGCAACAGAGTGCACACCCACTCTCCTTAAGGCTACCAACCGAAAGGCCTTCCCTTGGTATACATCCCCCTGGGCCTTACCCCACCCCCAAGCCTAGAGTCAACCTAACTTATCTAAAGGAAAACAGAACAGCTAGAGGCACCAATCAACAGATGCCGAATAGAGCCCGACTGAGGGCAGAGGTCTCTGAAATCCTTTAAAATCCACATGACAAACCCTTCCTGAGAAAGATCAGAACTTCTGCGCGCCTCGCAGGCCCCCAGGCTGAGATCAGTTTCCCAGGGAAAACGGTGAGGAGGGGGTTCTCAGGTGAACACGCCCGCGGGGCAAGAGGTGCTGATAGGCGATGCTGGAATCGTGATGCGGAGCCGCTGGGGCAGCGCCCTGGGTCCTTCCCTACCGGGCAGCATCCCTTCTACCCTCCCCGGCCCGCAGCAAAGGCTATGCGCTGCGGAATGCCGTTACCTGAGCCTCAGCCTCGCGCCAGACTTGGCCTCCGCAGGCCCCTGGTCCGGTCCGCTGCTGCGGTAGGCGCAGGACAGCTCCAGCGAAGCCAGGCCGCGCGCCCGCCCAGACCGAGACTGGGGACAGACCCAGTCCGCCACCCAGCAGTCGCTGCTCTACACCCTCCTCCCCGGGATGGCGCGCCCCAGAGCCAGCGGAGGCCGCGCGTACTCGCAAATGTAGCAGAAACAGCGAGCACAGCCCAGGGGAAAGGGGAGGTGGCAAGCACCAGCCCCGGGGACCGCCCTCCCTCGCGGGAGGCGGCTCCCGAGTGCGCGCTCCGCCTCCCGCCCGCTCGGCCTTGGGGGCGGGTCTGCCCAGTGTTTCGCGGGTCTGGCGCTCCACCCGCGGCCACGCGGACCCCACCCGGGCGCTGGAGAGAGCAAGGGGAGGGAAATGTCCATCTCGCCCCTGGGTGATCGTAGAACTTGTGTCATAGTGGAGTAAGAGCTGGGCTCCCCAAATTGCATTTCCGCAAATGTTCACAAAGCCCAAGGAAGGGGATTGGAACCTTCCCCCTTTACAGAGTAGAAAACTGACCTTTCGAGGCTAATAAACTTGCCGTCTATCACCCTGACTGGTTTCGGCCTTCTCACCTGCGAATCTACCAAATTTCTCCTTTTGTAGGAATATTAATATTAAATGAATAAGTGTTTTAAAAATCCTAATTTCTTTTGTTATAGAAAACCAAAATAGAATTATGTTTATACTAAAGATTTGAATGAAACATTATGGCGGGTTCTGCTTAAACAGACAGAAAAGCCAGCTAGATTCTCCGGGGCATCCTTCCTAAGCACCCCACCACAAAAGAAAACTGGAAAAAATTAGTGCTGCGGTCATTGTACCTAAGCGGGAGCCCTGGGACTATACTGAGGCCTCGTGTCAATAGTAGCACTTGACCTGGATTTGAATTAAGAGACTACTGCAATAAAGCCAAGACCTCTGAAGAGCCTAAGCCCAAATCCCTAAATTCTGGGCCAAAACAATATAAACCCCCTCTAGAGGGCGCATTCTCAGAGAATCAAACCAATTTTTTTTTTAATAAATAAATAAGCCCCAAAAGCCATACATGACTGACAGCAGAATTTATACCCAACTGATTTAGATCCCCCAAAGAAAGTGAGAAGAAAAACTTTTGACAAACTGGATGTAACATAGTTTTTTTGAGCAAAGAACGATCGACAAATCAGGCAACACTGAAGGAATATGGTGCAACAGGAGGCAGAAATGGCTTTTTGTGATCCA